GGAGATCATACTCGCTGAGTTCAACGGACCACTTCGTTAGTCGACCGGAGACCTCGGGCTTTGAGCAAGACCTGCCTCAGAGGTTTGTTGGTGAGGACAATAACAGTATGAACTTGGAAGTACAGGCAAAGCTTTCGGGCTGTGATAACCAGTGCGTAGGCTAGTTTTTCTATCTCTGGATATCTCGTCTCTACTCCCTGCAACACTTTACTAACGTAGTAGATAGGCCGTTGGGCCCGATCTACTTCCTTTACTAGTACCGAGCTGACCACTTCGTCGCTGGCCGAAAGGTACAGCTCTAAAACATGCCGGGTTAAAACCAGAATACTGGCGAGGTACCTTTTGAGCTCGTCAAACGCGAGCTGGCAGTCTTGGGTCCATTCGAATCCTTTGCTTTTCATTGCCTTAAAGAAAGGCAGGCAGCGGTCTGCCGATTTGGACATGAAACGGCCCAGAGCGGCTATCCTACCATTCAATCTCTGAACCTCCTTCACTTTCTGAGGTGGTCTCATGTCCAAGATGGCCTTTATCTTGTCCGGATTGGCCTCGATGTTGCGCCGATTCACAATATACCCTAAGAATTTGCCTGAGGCGACTCCAAAGACACACTTGTTCGGGTTCAACTTCATATTAAATTTACGCAGAATCTCAAAAACTAAACTCAAGTCTTAAATTAAATCACAAGAAAGTTGGGTTTTGACAACCATGTCGTCTACATAACATTCCAGCTTTTGGCCAATTAATGGCTCGAACAGTTTATTTACAAGTCTTTAGAAGGTCGCCCCGGCATTTTTTAACCTGAAGGGCATGACCTTATAACAGTACAGGCCGAGTTTGGTTTTGAAAGTAGTTTTCTCCTCGTCTGCTGGGTCCATCCTGATCTGATTGTAGCCCGAGTAGGCATCTAGAAAGCTCAACAACTCATGCCTCGAGGTCGTGTCCACTAGGCGGTCAATCCTGGGAAGTGGGAAGCAATCCTTTGGGCAAGCTCGGTTTAGGTCGGTGTAGTCGACGCACATGCGCCATTTACTGTTAGCCTTTTTCACTAGAACGAGGTTGGCCACCTAGCTTGGGTAATGGACTTCCTTGATAAAATCGGTTGTGAGGAGCTTCCCGACCTCCTCATCGACTGCCCTCCATTGCTCTAGGGCTAGGTTGCATTTCTTTTGCTTAACGGGCCTAACTACAGGATCAGTATTGAGCTTATGAGTTACAATGTCGGGGTCTATACTGGGCATTTCTGCCACGGACCAAGCGAAAACATCTAAATTCTTAAGTAAAAAATGTATTAGTTCGGACCGCAAGGGCTCCTCGACGGAATCGTCGATTTGAAGCGTTCGGGCAGGGTCCTCTGCCGAGGTCAGAATGGAGACTGTCTCCTCCGTGGGCGCAGCTCGTTCCTCGCTCTACTCCACAAGTCGCTCGAGCTCGAGGTCGTCAGCCACCTTAGCTTTTCCCTTGAGGGCGGCAACATCGCACTTGTGGGACTCAAGCTGGTCGCCCCTCACTACCCCGATACCGAAGTCCGTAGGGAACTTCATGGCCAAGTAGTAGGTGGACACCACAGCTCGTAAGGCATGGGTAATCGGCCGACCTAGAATGGCATTGTATGAGGAGGGGGTCACGACCACCAAGAAGTCGTGGTTGAGCCTTACAACGCTAGGCTAGGTGCCGAATTCCACAGGTACTGTCACTCTTCCTAGGGGCTGAACTTCTTCTCTGTTGAAGCCAATCAGGGGAGTGTGTGAGCTTTAGGTCGCTCTCCTAAAACTGGAGTTTGTCGAAGGCCACCTTGAAGAGGATATCCGCCGAATTGCCTGAATCAACAAGGACTCGCTTGACTTTGAAGTTGTTGACCCTCATCTTTATGACGAGTGCGTCATCATGAGGGTAGTGGACCCCGCATGCATCGTCCTCTGTGAAGAAGATGGGGTATTCTGTCCTTGGCCATTTTGGAGGGCTCTGCTCTTCCCTGCTGGATTCACGAGCTGTCGCGCGAGCTGCTGCTGAAGTGCAACCCGTGACAATCGATCCTCCGACTATGACATGGATGATCACCCGAACTGGTCTCTCTTCGGGGGCTGCTTCTACGGTTCCTCCGCTTGTCGGCTGGATTCGGGGGTGTTTCTGCCTTGCTCCCCCTGTCGACCTACTTTATTATTATTACTACTATTATTATTTTGTACAAAATTTTGTAAATATCCATGACGGATGAGCTCTTCTATCTCATCGCGGAAGTTTTTACAACTCTCGGTACTATGACCGTGATCTTTATGAAAACTAGAATACAAATTCTTATTCCGGGTGCTAGGGCCTGCCTTCAGCCGAGGTGGCCACTTCACATACGGGGTGTCCTTGATTGCCATGAGGATCTCGGCCCGTTTGGTGTTGAGGGGTGTGTAGTCCCTTTTTGTTGCTGGGACCCGGGTGGACTGAACCAGCCTTGCCCCCTGAGCTACATCCTTCTTCTTCTTTTTGTCGCTTTGGGACGGGGCCTCCGACTCCCTCTTTCTTTTTTCTGGGGCCTGCTCGCCCCTCTGGTTGATCTCTTCCTCTGTCCCAATGAACCGGTCCGCGAGTTTAAGGAACTCGGTCACGGTTTTGGGTTGGTTGAAAACCACATGCCATTTGAACTCCTTATGGGTGATACCTCGCTTGGCTGCCATGAGGCGAACTACAGGGTCCAGGTCGGGTATCTGCAAACAAGCATCATTGAACCACTTGATGTAGCTCCGGATGGATTCCCCTTCTTTCTGCACTATGCTGAGGAGGCTCTCTTGGGTTCGTGGGCACCTCATGCTGGTGACGAAGTGAGAGACGAAGACCTGCACGAACTGTGCCCAGCTTCTTATCGACCCTGGCGTGAGGTTCCGGTACCAGGTGCAGGCGACTCCCTTGAAGGTGGTGGAGAAGGCCACACCCATGCAGGACTCGCTGGCTCTGGCCAGATGCATCTAGAATTGGAAGGTGTTCACATGGTCGTTTGGATCGAAAGACCCATCATACTTATCTAGAGGAGGGAGCTTGAAGTCCCTTGGCATGGGGACAGCAAGGAGTTCGGAAGATAGCGGGGAAGAAATTGAGAGGAGGGGGGCAGCTCTTACTTTGCCAGAGCATACCTCCTCTTTCCTTCTGAGCTCGGGAGAGTCTTTGGATGCGGTGCGGCGGGCTCGCCGGTATCTTCGCTGCTGCTGCTTTGCCGGTTCGGCATTGGCGCTTTATGCTTCAGTGTTTTTGAGCTCGATGGGCTTGGACTGTCAGCAATGACTTTGGACTGAAGGGCCCTGTCTGGGATCCGTGGCCAAGACCTCGAACAGATTCTCTGTGAGCGGGAGCTCAAACTGTGAGGGTTGTGGCGACGTGGGCCTAGTTGGCTGGGAGGCCCCGGTCCTTCCTATAGGCTGGGAGGTGGGGGCTGTCGGGCTTTCCTTCTTGCTACGGGAAGAGGCTTGGCTCCTGGCAGGATCTTGAACCTGGGACACCTCTCCCCTGCGAGATCGCTCACCTCAGCAGGACGGCTTGGCCTGCTTTGCGGCTGGGTACCGGGGAGGAAGCGGCTGTTGGGCCTGAGGTAGCGAGGAAAATTGCTATTGGTACTGGTACTGGGAGATCTGGTGCAGCACTTGCTACTAGTAAAGCTGGAACTATTGGAACTGTTGCATTTGACCCTGCATGGCCAGCATGCACTGCACCAAGTCCTCCAGTTGGTTCGGGTTGGCCGTCGGGGGCACAACCAAGGGTTCAGTAGGGGTTGCTCCTACAGTAGAAGGGAGCGGAGCAATGGCGGGTGCCACTGTAAGAGGCACATTCAGGCTGGGGACTCCATCCGCTGAGAGGGGGACGGTAAACTGCCCGATACAGACAGTAGGAAACTGGGGCTGTTCCTCGGCGACGTTCTGGCTGGTGCCACGTCCGGCATTGCTGGAAGAAGCCATGAAGAATGATAAGTTTTTTGGAAGAGAAGTGTTGTAAAAGCTTCGAGGAAGGCTTTTAGAAGCGGTTCCCGTAGACGGCGCCAAATGATGCGGCACGATCCGGGCACTCCTAGCTGGCTGCTGACTGGCTCCTTGTTGGCAATGGATGGCACCTGAGAAGATGGAAAGAAGGATTCCCGGGGATTTACCCGGTGGGAATACTCCGAAGCTTAAGTCAGAACGTTGGAGAAGGAGAAGAAAGAGAGTGCAAAAGCTAAGAGTGTAGGTCGTGCTTTATCAATGTGCTCGAGAGATTAGCTCGCAAGCAAACAAAGACTCAAGTTGAGTATATGAGTGCAGAAGTATTCAAAAGTCTGAGAGCCTTTCTCTTTTGCCTCAAGGGCTTTTATAGGGGAATTACTTCCAAATCGAGTGTAACCGCCATTGGGCCCCTACCGCAGCCGTTACCTGCTAGGGCTGCACAGGTGATCGTTGCAACATACCTCTCACTTGGATGAGTGACACGTCTTAAAAAGGCATGCACGCTTCCGCCTGCTGAGAGACGTGGGTGCAGACTGTCGAAAGGACAGGGGACTGCGCCGTCAGTTAAGAGACGTGGCGTAGACTGATCGGTACGGTTTGTCAGGTAGAAGCTTCCTAAGAAACATCCGCGCCGCTTACTCGCGAGCTACTTTGTAGCGAGCTTGGGAATACTTCGGGGTTGCCCTTACTAAGTTTGTTCTCTGGGGTGACTTATTCGCTTGGGGACTGGAGCGAGCAGGTTTTCCTAGCACGCAAGCTAAAGCAGTCTTAGAGTATCCCCTTCTAGGTAGCTCGGGGAACCCGGAGCTTGTGTTGTCGCGAACTTCTACAGCGAACTATGATATAGTGAGCTGCTGTATGGGCTCGTTACTTAGCCGCGGTCAGGCTACGATGCAGAGCTATTGCCCATGCTGAGTCAGGTCCACGTGTCATCATTTCATAGGTCGGGTCAAATCATCCTCCATCAGTCTCCTCAGCAAAATTCACAACAAAGCCAATGGCAAGGGCAGCAGTGACAGTGAAGATGACGACGAAAATGCGCCCATGGTCATGAAAGGTTGGTTCACCATCTACACTTCTGACGACCCAAGATCCCCCTTCACCAAACTAAGTGCCAGAACTCAGTTTCTAACCAAGATCAAAGAGCTAGTGGAGCAATACAAAGGTGAGGAGCTAAGTCTAACGATAACAGGCCACAGCCTCGGCGCTTGTCTGCCCATCTTGAGTGCTTTCGATGTGGTTGAAAATGGGCTGTGGATGATCCCTGTGGCTGCTATTATTATGTTCGGTAGCCCACAAGTGGGAAACAAGGCATTCAATGACAGGCTCAAGGCATTTCCAAACCTCTGAGTGCTGCACGTGAGGAATGAAATAGATCTGATTCCACAGTACCCAACCCAGATACTGGGCTACCAGTACACAGGTACTGAGGTCGTGATCGACAATCGGAAATCGCCTAGCTTGAGAGACTCGAAGAATCCCAGTGACTGGCATAACCTTCAAGGAATTCTACATGTGGTCGCAAGGTGGAATGGAGCGGACAGAGACTTTGAGTTGAAGGTGAAGAGGAGTATTGCTCTAGTTAATAAGTCCGGTGATTATCTAAAAGAAGAGTTGTTGGTTCCTCCGTCATGGTGGGTCGAGAAGAACAAAGGCATGGAGCTTGATGAAARTGGGGAGTGGGTTTTAACCCCGCCATTTGATGATGATAATATCCCAGTTCCTGAGTTTTGAGCTATGTACTAATATGGCAAAATTCTCTGTAAATTTCATTTAGCTATTAGGATTAGGTAATCTACTATTGGTTAATTCAACCTAAATGACGATMTGCTCGTATGGATGTTATGGCCTTTGACTTGGCCCTAGTCGACCCAATTGGATATTTATTAGATCTCTTTCAGCCTTTCAGGTACCATAGTTTCAGACATCCAGTGGATTGTTTTAGAATTCAGATGTTCCTTTCAATTCCAAGAAACAGATACATCCGATATCATTCAAACAGGGARGGCCGGATAGGGCTACAAATGGGTACCCACTAATTCTATTTCGAATCTGATCTGATTAAGGCAATCTGGCAGTAACTTTCTTTCTTCTCTTTGTCTTGTTCTGTTCTGTTTTGTTCCGTTCTGCTATATATAATCTTTTAATTCCATTTCCACCTTTTTACATACAATGTATTCCAGTTCAAGATGGCTTGGCAACGAAATACAATTGAAATGTTTTAGAAGAATATTGTGTCTATTTGCGGGCAATTGCAAGCTAAGATGGTTTCCAAAAGGGTTGAAGAATTTATAAYAATTCCATGATCTCATGTGCCTCTGTTCTTTAATGAAAACTCCGTTATTTTCTCTAAAAAAAGATAAAAAAAAGGGTTTTGTTCATTATATTTCTTTTCACACCGAAGACATTTTAATCCGAATTGTTAAAAAAATCAAAAATCACGTGAAGAGAAAGAAATTCACATGGTTAAGCAATTACAGGTTTCTTTCACTATATGCTACAGAAATGACTTAGGCATCATGTCCAGCGTCAGCAATATAGAGATACCAAAACGTCTACAAATACACGGGCTTCTCGGTATCAGCCAATAGCCTGCACATGTAAGATAGGTTAATGCACTAATGTTCATGACAAATACTTAAGCACCTTAGGCTTTAGCATGGCGGCCCTCTCATATTTAAAGGTCGCTAGGTATTAGCAAGAACAAGTACAATTTATTCGGAGAAAATCATGAAAAAAATAGATTGAATTTTGCAAAGTTTTTGCAAGATTTTAAATAACTTACGATCCCCAACAATTTTATTTATAAGAAACAATTTACAAGTTGAAGTGACAACCGATGAAAGGCAGAGATTTCAATACTTTCTTATCATTTTTAACATCAGAGTCTCTCCTCTCAAAGTTAAGTACAGATCAAGAGGAGATACCCTCGTGTGAAACCTTCAATGCATTGGCGACGGGAAAAATAGAAAGGAATCAAATAAAAATATGGGTAAATTGTGTAAACCTCCCCTAAAGTCTCAGGTTCTTGCTGAAACCTCCCTTGAAGTTCGGTAAGTACAAACCTCCCCTGAACTTTCTGACATAGTTGCAAATAGACCTGCCCCCCACCTTTAGAATCTTCTAAAAAGATGCATAAAAAGTCCAAAATATCCATAGACCAAATGTTTATTTTCCACATTTTCTCTTCATATGAATTGCTACCCCAAACCCTTCCAATCTCTTTATCTGAAATTGATTTATTTTTCAAATTTTCCCTTCATATCAATCACTCAAAGGTAAAGCTACAACTTCAAATTTTCTTTTCTTTTTATTTGTTCAAAAGGTTTGTATTCTTTTTTTCTGTAAAAACCAGCCTAAATGGTAATTACATGTGTATTTTGGACATTTTGTGCCTCTTGTTAAAAGATTCTAATAGAGGGGGTCTACTTGCAACAACTATGTTACAAAGTTTAGGAGAGGTTATTAAAATTACCAAGCTTCAAGGAAAATTTCAATGACAACCAGAAACTTTAGGAGAGTTTTCAACAATTCACCTTAAAAATAATTATTACAATGTGGTAGAGAAATAGTCAGGAAAAGAGAAAAAAATCTCAATATAGAATTAATAATTGATAAAATATGAGTATGTTGGAAAAATGATTTTCACAACTATCTTTATGAATATACCAGCTAAAGGTAGGGCGAGAGAGAGAGAGAGATAGGAGAGAAGAGAGATGAAACTTACAAAGAAAGAATAGTCAATTAGACCAAGTACCTTCCACGGACAATATCTCTAGTTCTGCCCACCAAAGTGGAGAAAGTCTTGGAGTTGCTGCTTCTGGTGAGATAGCAATCACTTCCCTTAGTTTTGAGGTGACCTCCCTCATTGTTGGTCTTTGCATTGGATCCTAGTTGATGCTCTCTTGAATTACCTCACAAATAATGTCAAGTTCATCATTTTTGAAAGATTTGAGTGTGGGATCAACCATCTTGTTGATATTGCACTTATCGTCCAAGTATTCAGAAGCCTAGAAATGTCATTAATTTTATCAAAATACATAATCAAAAGCAATAATAAAAAATTTAGATAAACTAAGACTCTGATAAATAACTAATTAAATATTAAAAAACTAGTTTGTTTACCCTGTTCAAAAGGGGCCCTTCCTCAGAACATTGAAGTTGTCGTGAAATAATTTCTATTAGCAGCATTCCAAAACTATAGACATTTGTTTCGGGATCAACAAGTGGAGGAAGTTCGAAATGCTCTTATTCATCTTCAACAGATGTCTTTGACTTGAATTGAGCATCTATTGTGAGGCATACCTCTCCAATCTGTCAATAATAGAATAAAAATATTTGAACCTTTAAACAACAAAAAAGTGCTAGTTAGAAATGAGTATTGTTCAAACTTTTGTACCTTAGCAGCATGATCATCTGTTAAATAGACAAAAGAAGACTACAAATTGGAATGTGCTACAGGTGGATTCAAGTCGTGATGCAWGTATTGAAGACAATAAGATATTTCCATAATAATTCTCATCCTAGCATTCCAATCGAGATGCTCAAATTCTTTAACTGTAAAAATGAATAAAAATATTTATTTGCAGACATGAATAAAAATTTTTATCCCTTTTAGTTATGAATAAATCTTATTTACTTATGTCTTATATTCCTCATAATTTATAAACAAATTATTCAAATGATTTGTGAAATTACCATGCAAATGTTCAAATAGAGTTCCATTAGGAGCATACTCAAATAACATCATTCTTGTGAAAAGCTCTTCTTCTTCGCAATATCCCAAAAGATTGACAAAGTTCTTATGGTTCACTCGTGAAAGAGTATGAATTTAATGTGAGGACATAGAAAATAAAAAATGAAAAAGTATTAGAATTCGAGCGTCTAATGTATAAACAAGATAAATCATCAATTGTATAAAAAAAAATTATAGACCTTTTTTCTATAACTCTTTTCCATGCACTTTGCCCAATCTTTAGAGGATACAATTGTAGTTGAAAAAACCGCAATCTTAGCACCACTAGATAGAGTTCCCTTGAATATTGTATATTCTTCAAAGGTCTCAACAATATTACTAAAATAATATCTCAACACCAGAAACTTTAGGATAGTTTTCAACAATTTACCTTAAAAATAATTATTACAAAGTGGTAGAGAAGTAGTCAAGAAAAGAGAAAAAAATCTCAATATAGAATTAACAATTGATAAGATATGAGTATGTTGGAAAAAGGATTTTCACAACTAGCTTTATGAATATACCAGCTAGAGGTAGGGCAAGAGAGAGAGAGAGAGAGATAGGAGAGAAGAAAGAAGATTCAATTAGACCTCAAATACCTTCCACGGACAATATCTCTAGTTCTGCCCACCAAAGTGGTGAAAGTCTTGGAGTTGCTGCTTCTGGTGAGATAGCAATCACTTCCCTTAGTTTTGAGGTGACCTCCCTCATTATGGGTCTTTGCCTTGGATCCTGGTTAATGCACTCCAGAATTACTTCACAAATGTTGTCAAGTTAATCATTTTTGAAAGATTTGAGTATGGGATCAACCATCTTGCTGATATTACACTTATCGTCCAAGTATTCAGAAGCCTAGAAATGTCATTAATTTTATCAAAATACATAATCAAAAGCAATAAAAAGAAATTTAGTTAAACTAAGACTCTGCTAAATAACTAATTAAATATTAACAAACTAGTTAATTTACCCAATTCAAAAGGGGCCCTTCTTCAGAACATTGAAGCTTTCCTGAAATAATTTCTATTAGCAGCATTCCAAAACTATAGACATTTGTTTCGAGATCAACAAGTGGAGGAAGTTTGGAATGCTCTGATTCATCTTCAACAAATGTCTCTGACTTGAATCGAGCATCTATTGTGAGGCATACCTCTCCAATCTGTCAATAAAAGATTAAAAATATTTGAACATTTAAACAACAACAAAAATGCTAGTTAGAAATGAGTATTGTTGAAACTTTTGTACCTTAGCAGCATGATTATCTGTCAAATAGACAGAAGAAGACTGCAAATTGGAATATGCTACAGGTTGATTCAAGTCGTGATGCATGTATTGAAGACAATAAGATATTTCCATAATAATTCTCATCCTAGCATTCCAATCGAGATGCTCAAATTCTTTAACTGTAAAAATGAATAAAAATATTTATTTGCAAACATGAATAAAATTTTTATCTTTTTTATTTATGAATAAATCTTATTTACTTTTGTCTTTTGTATTCCTCAATAATATATAAACAAATTATTCAAATAATTTGGGAAATTACCATACAAATGTTCAAATAGAGTTCCATTAGGATCATACTCAAATACCATCATTCTTGTGAAAAGCTCTTCTTCTTCGCAATATCCCAAAAAATTGACAAAGTTCTTATGGTTCACTCGTGAAAAAATTTCAATCTAATGTGAGGTCATAGAAAATAGAAAATAAGAAAGTTTTAGAATTCTAGTGTTTAATGTATAAACAAAATAAACCATCAATTGTATAAAAAAATTTATAGACCTTTTTTCTATAAGTCTTTTCCATGTACTTTGCCCAATCTTTAGAGAATACAATTGCAGTTGATAAAACCGCAATCTCAACACCACTAGATAGAGTTCCCTTGAATAATGTATATTATTCAAAAGTTTCAATAATATTATTAAAATCTTCACAAGCTGTTCCGAGCTCTGGACGGTTCAACTTTGGCGCCCCTGTATTTTTAAGTCAATGTATTTCATTCTTTTCATACATACATACATATATATATATATATATATATAATGAATTGTGAACAACAAACTTACCTGTGATGAATGCTTTTTGCAACTGGCCACTAAATTCAGTCTTCCAAGGAGTTATGGTTGTTACTCCTTGGCTTCGACATTTATAGAGCATGGTTTCAACAATAATAAGAAATATTGTCTTCAATGCCACAATAACATACTTCCATAGTTCTCCAAATGAACCATCATCTAATGGTTGTTGGTTATGAGGGGCTTTAACTGGAGCACTAGCAGATTGGTGTAGAGGAGGATTTGAAGGAGAGGACAACCATGAAGGTGGAGGGTATTGTTGTTTCTTTGCATTTGGTACTGCAGGGAAAGCCCCACTACTTCTTGCAATTGGAATAGTAGGAACATATTCAGAAATTGCATTGCTGCTTGCAGGCATTGCAGGGAGGTTACTAGATTCTTGTAGTAGTCTACGGCGTACAAAGTTTACTATTTCTTGTACATTTTGTGATATATATGGTTTCTCTGAACCAAATGGTGACAAAAACATTGATCATTTTATTGCTCTAAAGCATGAAATAATTAGTGCTTAAAGGTAAAACTATCATAGAGAGCTTGTACTCACCCGATATATCATTACAACATTTCTCCCCATAGATAGGCAAAGAGCCTTTTGCAAACTTAAAACTTAACAATAAAATAAGAATTTCATTAGTTAAAATACATTGTCGTCATCATCATCATCATCATCATCTTATTATTATTATTATTATTATTATTATTATTATTATTATTATTATTATTATGTAATTGCTATTGAGAAGAAAAAGAGATATGATATAAATATAATACATATCGTGTAATAT